TTTTTTTTGGGGGGGGGGGGTTAATGAAAGTGTTTCAAAACGCGACATTAATTTATCTATTTTAATTTCAAATACGCATTCTTGGTATTTCATTTTAATCAATTTATTTATTTCTTCGAAATTGCTATTATAATACGAGGACGTTTCCTTGAGAATTTATTGAGCTTTGGATTAGTACCTTCTTTCTTTTCTGGAGCTCTTTATTACTTTCTTTAAAATCATAGTTTAACAAAACTGGCATTCTAATCTGACCAAAATGGGCCCGGCATGGCCAGGGGCTAAGGGCACTCGACTCGCAATCTGCGGGTCGCGGGTTCGAATCCCCGTCCCACCAATCATACTAGCCCTTGCAGCCTTGGGGGCGTTATAATGTGACGGTCATTCCCACTATTTGTTGGTAAAAGAGTAGCCCAAGAGTTAGGGGGGGGGTGACTAGCTGCCTTCCCTCTAGTCTTACACTGCTAAATTAGGGACGGCTAGCGCAGATAGCTCTCGTGTAGGTTTGCGCGAAATTCAAAACAAACTGACCAGAACATATACATTCGCACTTAGTACATAATCAAAACAGACAAAAGACCTCAATTATATGCGGGATAAATTGTTATCGATAATTTAACTACTTAGTGCACCATTCTTATCGTACATATGAGAAGGAAAGACATGAAAGTAATATGTTAGAAAACCTTTTATGTACAGCCAAACGTCTAACTCTGCAAATGATACGGTAGGCTTATCGTTAAGCTTAAATAAACACGTTTTGTTCTTACCTAAATGTCCATTCTCTGTACGGAGTTGGAATTCCAACAGCTAAACACGGTAGGTGGACTTCTGATCCGCTGCTAACTGTTACGTGCTCAGGAAATGAAGCAATTCTGGCGGGTACTTTCAAAATACAACAAAATTCATGCATTATTCAGTAACAAATAATCTTTTAATGTTTTTGGATAAAGGAAAATATAATCATGAGCTAAGTTTATGCTGAAGATAACCGTTTTGTTTTAACGTTTTGACATTCAACAAATAGTGTTTTCACAACTCAGTCAGGATAAGAGATTCCATGTGCTGTTTTCTTATAGTACAGATTAAAATCTGAACAACAATTTCTTTACACCTGATAAACCATGATTATCCTTCTCAATAAGCTACACTCGTATATCAATTTTCAATAACATGACTTAAAGTTGGTGAATCGCGTTTTGATCAGTTTTTTAATGTAAGTAGACAAACATAAATTTTGCTTATAACGATTAAATTGAAAACACAATTTGACCCCTATAATGTTTATTACTTTGACCTCTATAATGTTTATTACTTTATGTTCTTGAGTAATAAAATCTGACATTTATATTCTTTATTATACTGTGTTATATTTCTATCTATAGGCTGTCCATTTCACTCTCGACGAGTACTGAACTCTAACCTTATTTATTTTTACACTATTAATAAATACGTGGTATGTAATAAGAACTATTCATTACACAACGGATGAACTATAGTCTAGTCTCTTTGCTTTATTTTACATTATTAATAAATATTGAAAAATGTGTTCTATAAACTGTTTACTATACTAAAGAACCTGGCTGCTATATTGTCAATTCTCATGATGTTAGAAAAACACACAGGTTCAAGAAGTCTTGATAGAAATGAATAAAAATCCTATAACCCGAGCGCTTTCGAAAGGTGGAACTTTCTTCTTCAGGGGCAAACTTATCAATTCTCATTCAGATCAACAATTAAGGAAAATGTTCTCATTCAGATCAACAACCAATGAAAATGCCCTCATTTGTTGTTGTAACAAACAAGTGATTCTGGTTATAATGCTGTTTTTTTTTTCGTTGAATGTATCATTAAAATTTTGTCATATGTCATTTCGACAACTTATGTAGGAACGTATTTTATTACTTGTACGGTGGGAATTTCACACCACCTAAAGTAACAAAATGTTGAAACATGTCACAATAATATATTACGTGACTCCTCTGACTGTACCGTAAAGTGATACTTGTCGCTAAAAATAGAGCAGTGATTACACAAGACAATGCATAGCATATCAATATAAATAGTAAGAAAATGTAGTAATTACATAAGACAAGGCATAGTTTATCGATGAAATGTCTATAGAAGATGGGCTGATTACACAGGCATAGCTTTTTGGTAAAAACAATACAGATGATGTAATGATTACACATTCGTGGTTTTAAAACTCCTGGTTATTAGTGAAACATAAACGCTGATATTGATTTAAAAAATATATTTTGTTACAAAAACAAAAGACAATACACTAAATATACAGATATTGATAAAAACTAACTAATAAAAAATTATAAGAATATTAATATAACAAAAAGCAAGGCATGCTAATAAATAGTGAGTGACTCATGAACCTTCCACTCCCCTAACTAAAAAAAACAAATCACTTGTAATTTTGAACTTTTTCTTTACTTCAAAAAAAAACGTCCAACTTACTCGTTTCTGATGTTCTCTGCGATAAAACCCGTGTCGATTCCCCCTCACCAATAACTGTGGAAGCAGTTACCCAGAATTCGTAGCGTTTATTGTTTTCGAGATTCAAGACTTCAAAATGTGTTTCCGATGGCTCTACTCGATTGGAAATAGTGTCCTGTAATTATATAAAAACAAAAACACGTAGATTTACGCTTATAAAGGGAAGTAAATTACATTATTTCAGTTTGAGAGCAAAATATAAAGTTCTCTTTCTTTATTCTCTGTTGAGTTACCCGTCAGTAGTTCCTTCACATTCTAAAAATGATAAATAAAACCTCCTATAAATGTTCTTTACGGTTCAAAGTTTTGCTTTTTCTAGTAGACGTTAAAGTGTCAGATCATTTCGAAATGTTGTGTGCAGATTTGACAAACGCCAGCAAGCTTTACAATATGAAAGATCAAAAGTATATACTATGAAAAAAAGACACAATTTTAACGTTTTTATAAACATCTTAACTCTAATATCTTACGAATATGTTGGCTTGTTTTAAAGAATGAACTTACTTGACGACCCTGTGATAACCACCTTTTGTACAGAGTATATTGTTGGATGACACCATTCGGTTGAGCCGGTCGTCTCCACGATACTAGGATGCCATTGGATAACATAGGAATAGCTTTGATATCGGCAGGAGCACTCGGAACTAGAAAATATTGTTTACATTGTAAAATCTAAAAAGATAAAACCTACGAAGTATGAGCAATACATATAAAAATCAAATATTATGAGAAGTGGTTTGAAGAATCACTACTTCCACAGAGCCACAGTAAATTATCCATAGATGTTACAGACGCCACACGATCAGTCATTGTAATTTGATTAACCTGGTAAATAAATATAACGTTCTCGAATTGGAGTGTTTCAAAGGAGCTTCTGTAAAAAAAATAAAAACACGTATATCTTTCAAACTCTTAAACTTTACATGTAAAATTTTACCCATTTCTCTGCAGTCACCATTTTAAGCTCTACTGCTGTCTAGAGTAGGATTTTTCAATACTTTTTGAGTCAAGCCTCGTTTCACCAAAAATATGTAATTTCGCACTAACAAGCTCCACTCTTCTATACAAGGCATATAAGATTATACTTTTTTCACTCACCACAATGCTATCCACTTTGTGTACTGTACTTTTGTGCACTTCGGTGCGAAAAAAAGAATGCCACCGAAACCCACCTCTCTGATTGGTTCTCTGCTCTATACGCGTGGCTTTCTAATTTTAAATAAGAAGCGTTTTTAAAATAGATTCTAACTCTAAAATTGTGAGTCGACCATACAGATGTTGGCTTGTTTGGATGGCAACTTTGAAAAGGAGAAAATCCGCTAGACCTGTTTCTCATATAAAACTTTGCATAAGTTTTGAGTTTCAGTATCTGGCTTTGTGAAACACGTAGTGAAACGCCCAAAACTGAAACTCCCAAAATATTGTTTTAGTGTTAGTAAAAAGTCTTTGGAAAGCAGGGCTACTTTTGAGCCATTTTATTCTGACATTTATTTGCACTACAATTGTAGTTTTAAACACGTTCGTGATATCTAAAGTACTCTGAGCATTTAGTAGAGGCAACAATAAATGTTCTTCAGCTATTTATTATAAACTTCGTTTGTTGAGGTATATCAATCATGTATAAGTCTACCAATTACTGAACTATCTAGTGAGAGGGAAAACGTATCTTATTCTTTCTATTACTTCTGTCCTTTTTTTCATTGAACTCTAACACTTCTGGGCGACTTCTCTTTGTGATTGTTTTAACTTTAACAGAAAATTAATCGTGACTGCATCCATAACTTTTCAGTTCATGTAAACATCACGCCCTCCAACCTTACATATACAACTGATACTAGGATAAACATGACTTTCGAACATTCTCCCAATGTTTACTGACAAGTTTAGCACTGAAAACAAGTCTTCTATAGGTTAATTATTTTACAAAAAAGCAATGAAATTTCACCAACATCTTGACACAAACAGGGAAAATAACTCATTTTCAAATGAATATTTATCTGATAGAGATTAATCGACGGACAGAAAACACATATTGTTCGAAAGCTCTAATACTAAATCATCGTCGAAAGGCAATTTTATTGCATTTTATGGTTTCACAGATATGGTGTTGAACAAAACAGTCACTATTGAACTCTCGATCTTAATATATATATATATAATCAAGTTTATAACATTTACATTTTAATGTGAAGATAAATATCTATTATATCATTGCTACTTTTTCCTAGACAGTTTGGGATGTACCCCCCCTCTCCCACGGGGAGCACCTCAGTGGTTGGAAATCCCTGGTCTAGAGGACAAAATATTTTGATATTCAACTAACCCCTATGCCATGTTGCACCATTATTGGACGACGAATTGTACCTGAACAATATTTTAACACCTCTCACATGAGCCAGCCCGCCATCTTGATGTGGATCACCAAATGTGGATCATTTCGGAAAGTTTTTGGTTGTTTTGATTAAACATAAAGACGACGTTTCGCACAATTTTCGAGGTTTTGGTCGTCGTACTTGACTCGTTTCTTAGTCCGAGACCATAACAGCCAACATGGAAAAGTTCACTTGTAAATGTAAAGTAAAACGACGTAGCAATGAAACATGCTTGAAATGTTTTCGATGTGGTTGTGAATGTGATGATTTAAGAGTAATTGGTCCAGGTCGGATGAGGGAAGAACTTATTCGAAGATATCCAAAATAATTTGAAATACCAATTGAATCGGAGATTCGTCAATTGATTACTGCATTGACAGCAGAACACAAAGAAACGAGTACAATAGTGTTGTTATGTTCAAAAAAGGGGGGATTGAAATCATATGTAAGAAATCATGAGTTTGAATATTGTGTGAAATTAACGGCACAATAAAGCCCAAAGATGCAGTGTTGAGGTTGAATCAGGCGAACGATGCATTACAAGATGATTTTTCATTTCCCTAGCGATTCTGAAGTCAAAAATGCCATTTCTGCAATGAAGAGTAAATATAAGAAGAATGGTATAATGGCCAGTATGGTACCATCATAATGTAAACCATATATAGATTTCATCATGTCATATTTTCATTAATATTTAATTGTTTTCGATTTTCTTTCCATTTTAGAAGTTGTGCCAAGCTTCATTTATCGAAATAACCCTAAATCACCGGTTTCAGGAATAATCCCCCTGTTGACCACCCTAGGCTCCGTACTAAAAGATGCTGGGCTGGCTTGTGTGGCAGTTGTTAAAACCAAGTAAATAATTTGGTGGCACCCTTTTAATAACTATAAGTACTTAAAGTAAACTACCGTCTGATAGAGTCCGACAATAAACAGGCTGACTAGCAACTCCCTCTCCTTCTCTAGTAAATGCTACTACTGCTAGGCTGTAGTTGGTGTACTTCTCTAGATCGTATAGCGTTGTCGTGGTTGTATCATCTTTCACAACAAACGGAGAGACCAAACCTTCTAAAAAATAGAAAAAGAAAACCCATTTATATCACTATTCTTCAAATTCCTTATTCAAATAAATGATAAACACGCGGTTTTTCCATACTATGGAAACTTTCTGTTGCTTTACTAGATAACCAACGATTCGAACTGTCTCTGGATTCTGAAAAATTCAGTTATAAGTTCATACAGTGTTGAGAGAGTGTGTAGTCTCGACAAACGGAGTGTGAAAAACAACCTAAAGAATCATCTTGGAATAGGTGAAACATGGATATTTCGCTAATAAAATTCTTTTCTGTCCTGCATAAATCTTCATTTTATTTTTCTAACGCTTGCACAAATGTCTAACATCCTGTTAATGTTTTTCAGCATCGTTAACTTTCTTCTAAAATGAGAATATAAAAGGCGATTATGTGAATTAACAAACGTTTTAAGTCCAGAGCTCTATGCTTTCCAATATGAGCCAATAAAGGTTTAAAGAAAACAATTAAACTGACCTCCTGCCGTTGATATAACATGAGGTCGTCAGGAAATTAATGTCGCGTTTTGGAACACTTTCATTAAACGCCCCCGAAAAACCGTACATCATGTATAATAGTTAAACGAACTGCCTAAACATCACGTTAGTGTAGCCTATATAATGTGTAAAGTTTAGTATACTCTAACCCCTTATAGTGATGGCACACGACGAGACACACATTCGGCATGTAATGTTGTTTAAATACAAGAAAGGTTGGTTGGTTGGTTGTTTTGAATTTCGCGCAAAATTACACGAGGGCTATCTGCGCTAGCCGTCCCTAATTTAGAGATGTAAGACTAGAGGGAAGGCAGCTAGTCATCCCCACCCACCGCCAACTCTCGGGCTACTCTTTTACTAACGAATAGTGGAATTGACCGTCACATTATAACGCCCCCACGGCTGAAAGAGCGAGCATGTTTGGTGTGACGGGGATTCGAACCCGCGACCCGCAGACTGCGAGTCGAGTGCCCTTAGCATCTGGCCATGCCGGGCCTACAAGAAAGGAAACAACGCCTCTGTAGCCACAAAGAATATCAAAAAAGTTTATGGAAATGTTTTGAACGTTCGTAAGTGTCAACGATGGTTCAACAAATTTCGTTCAGGTGACTTTAGCCTTAAAAACTGTGATGGCACGGTCCGACATGTTGGAATTGATACTGATGCTCTCAAGACGCTTGTTGAATCTATCCCAAGGCAACACACTCATGAAATGGCCCTGAAAGTGTATGTCTTTAATGAAACAATACGTAAACATCTAAGGAACATGGGAAAAATCCATAAAGAAGGTGTTTGGGTGCCTTACGAACTCTCTGATGATCATCGTTTCCATAGTTTCTTCTGGCGAGTAACGCGGTTGGAACATTTTTGGACTGAATTGTCAACGGTGATAAAAAATGGATTCTCTGTGCGAATATTAAAAGCCAAAAACAATGCCTCATTCCTAGATGAATACCATTTCCGACCCCAAAACCTGGACTCCATCCGCAGAAAGTGGTGCTTTGTATTTGGTGGGACATCAAAGGAGTAATTCATTTCGAACTCCTCAATCCACAGCGAACTGTCAATGCAGGTATCTATAGTCAGCAACTGGAATGTTTAAATCAAGCCCTTCATCAGAAACGTCCTTCACTCGTCAATCGGAAAGGTATTCTTCTTCTCCACGGCAATG